AAGAAAACTTCATTCACACAAAAATCACATTAAAACATATTAAAAATGGATTTAAGTTAAACCAATGCAAAGTGTTATGCGCACACATATTTTGGTTTGAAACATTATTTTAAATCAATTAGAAATTGTAATATTTTAATATAATATATTATATATTATAATATAATGTAATTTTAATATTAATATTTAATAATATTTTATTTTAAGATTGGATTATTTCCATTTAAATCAATTAGAAATTGATTTAAATGGAAATAATCCAATCTTAAAATAAAATAAGAGTAAGTGTACAGATATTTCCACTGCTTTAATGAAAAGAGCTTACCAGTTTCCACTTCTCATTTAACCACAGCCTCAAGCATGAGAAAGTGCCCAACAATTTCTTTACATGTTAATGTGTGGTTACAGAAACCTGCTGCAAAACTGGGCAGTTCTGGGTTTTCTACTCTGAGGATGCAATTCTCACAAACACAAAGGCAGTTTACCCCATGACACAATACAGCCCCAAGGTTTTAAAAAAAATTGTTGAGGAAGTGTTTGAAAACCAATGAAGTGAAAAAATCTTGAATTTGGGAGTGAAAGTAAAGCCTCTGCTGCCAGTGCAGAAAGTAAAACTTTCTCTAACACCCCACTGCACAAAAAACCTTGTTTCTTAAAACAAGGATAAGTGTTAAGGAAAATCCTGAACTGCACTGTCCAAACTCAACAATTTGAGAAACACTCCCATTCCACCATTTTGGCTCTGAGTATATTGTACAAAAATTATTATGTTTTTGGCTGAATAGTCCTTATTGCTTGACAGTAAAGCCTTCCTCCATTGTTCAGAATAGCTGAGCTACTTGGATTTACAAGAAGTCTGCTCTGCAAGTCACTCAGATAAGTTATTTAACAAACAAATAACAAGTATCATCCTAAGTACCAGAGGTCATTTATTTCTTTCCCCAAGCAAACTGTGTTTGCAATAACTTAGTGTCCATTCTAGATGAAGAATTAAATACAGTTTTAATAACTGTTTCAAATCAGTCTGCATTGTTAGATAAGTGCAAATTGATTCATTTAATTATGTTAAGGAAAATAAAGTCTTTTGGATATGAGTAATCTTCAGTTACATCCCCAAAGGAGAGTTCAGTGTTTTGAAAATAAATAAGGCTACTTGCTGAAACCCGGTACTTTACAAACAAAATGAAAAGAAACCCCTGAATAAAAGTCATCCTTGTCAAGGATGGTTTTGTTGTGTTGAAAGGAGCAGGAACACCATCAGAGATAAGAGATATGCACTCCTGTCCATCCCCCTATCCAAACAACTTGAATACTGTATGGAATAATTCTTGAATAAACTGTGCCTCTTTTGAATAGCTGTGTATGTTCATGGCTCTCTGTCAACAGGGATGAATATGTTCATACTATTTTGTCTTACAATTATTATGTTTTAACCAACAACAGTGAAAGAGTTTAGTAGGATCATGTGAGATAAAACCTAAGGGGAAAAGAAACAGCATAAACATTTAGAAAATGTAAATAACCCCCCATAATTATAAGTTCAAAACCACTTTAAAACTCAATTCTAATTTGAAAATATACTAAAAGAAAGTAAATATTAAACACATTTATCCTTTTTAAAAGTTTACTTTTCATATCAAAGTAGTTGCAGATGCACTTACACAATTGTTTAAAACAGCAGATGAATAAGTTGCATGTGTTTGGCAGAGCCATGATTAACATGACAAAACATGTCTATTTAAAGTATTAAAATAAGGTCCTGGGGCAACTCTCTAGGTGGTCTAAATCAGTATAACTCCACTGATTTTAACAGAGTGACACCATTCACTCCAGCTGAGGATTTGGCCAATGGTCCTTCTCATCCTGCTCTGTCTACTATTCCATGAATTTTAAAAAATTTGGCTGTTAGATACCTCTTAATATGCTTTCAAACTACTAATTACAATTATTTAACACTTTTCTAAGACAAAATAAATGTAAACAATTTAAGTGCTGGGCACTGATTTTTCTTCAAAAAGTTATTTTGACTTCAGCATGTTTTTGTCTATGACAATCCTATAACTTTCTTTTTTGTCATGAAACCCAGACTTAAAAGTGATGTGCAGATAATATTACGTCCAAAAATATTAAATTACTAGCTGACACACTCTTTCGTATGTTTTCTTCTTGTATCTTCCTGCCTAGGTCACAAGTGAAAATAATGTGTGTTTAAATCATGGCCCCATTCAGTTGAATGGGAGATTCTTTTTTGTCATCGCCTGTGACATCAACATATCACCAACAATATTCTCAAAGTAGTCAAGTTCAAAACCTCAAAACAAACTGGAACAATTTAACATACAGTGCTGCTATTGCTAAACTAGCACATAATTAGCAGTAATATTACAGAGCGGGGCTGAGCTGCACTGGCAGGGATTTTTGATTGCATTTACATGACACCTACCCATATCATTATGGGTTCATCAGTATTGGTAACACCTCATTTTTCAGCATTAGCCAACTACAGCAATATGTTATTTTCTGAAGAACAGGATAACACATTTCTGAATAAAAAACACCTACATATTTTCCACTAAGATCTTGTGTTAATGTAAAGATTTACTTGTCTTTGTGGCAGGAGATGCAGACAATTATTGGGCCTGAATTTCCACTATGTTGATTGCCACAGGGAACTTGATACACTCTGCCTAGTACCAACCTCGATAAAGAACAGGTCACCCTATGCACTGTCTTAACTTTTACCAGCTGGACATGGTCCCCATGGAAAGTGATGATGGCTGGAGTACAGTGCATAGACATGGCTCTTTCCTCCCCCCAGCATGCTTTTCCCTTGTAGGGTTGGGGAAGGGCAATGCAAGAGACTTCTCAACTGGCTGAATGCCTGCTGGGGACTCCCTAACACAAGGGGAATTTTCAGTAATGATAGATGATAGGGATGGATTTCACCACCTCGGTTGTACACCAGTATCTTAAATGAGACAAAATGGGGCAGAAAAATCTAACTTAGCATTTCAAAATAGCTTCATGCCAAGAAGTGTATTACTTTGGGGCTCTTCAACTGATGGAGTATTGTCAACAAGGATACTAGAGGTAAAAAATACTTGCCTTTTTTCTATCACTGCAGATAACCTTGCAGTTACAGTGGTCACCTTTAACAGTTAATATTGACTGTTAGTCTCTATGTGGTGATAACAAGGAAACTGCAGTTAATTACTGCCCTAAGTATAAAGCAAAACTGATCTCTGATACCATAGTGTGGCAGTTGTTTGTGAATGCTGACCTTCTGATGAGGAGCACCCAGTTATCTACTTGCTCCAATGTCATAAGGGATATCTATTGCAGGTTCACAGGGTAGAATGAAGGTATGCATGACGATGGTGGGCTGGGGTAGCTGACAGTATTCAGTATCATTCCTCTTAATTATCAAGGAAAGATCTAAAGGAAGAGAATAAGAAGAACTGGAAGGGAAGGAAGTTTTCATTTTGGAAAAGCAAATATTTGGTTATCTCAGTAAAATATGTTATTTTTGTAATTTGATTAATTACATCTTACAGGAAATAAATTAACTCTTCATCCAATGCACTAACTAGACAGGAAATGTTAATCGGTCACAAAGCCATTTGTCTGGTATTACTCAAAACGTTCACTTATCTGTACTGTATATTTAAGTCTGTGAGAGATAACTGTCACCACTGCTTTCTTTTGTGTCTTTTTTTAACTTGTGAAGCTAGTGTTTATGTATTCAGTCAAAGTTTTTGAAAATGAATGTACTCCATAATTGTTACTCTATCAGTGACTTTAAATCTGGAACATTTTTTATCTGAAAATCCAGTAGCATCTGCCCAAATGCCTTGCCCTGTAGAGAGAATTAAAAAAGGTTTTATTATCATGTGATACATACGAAGAAAAGAACATTTTTATGTATTCACATCTCAACAAACTACTTTGCAAAACTACCTTGACTTTTTTTATTAGAAATATTGTTTAAACAAACAAGATCTCTCTTCTGCACTATACAACATCCCTGAACTTTGGGGTATTCACAGTCTGGATCTTAATTTTGCAGGCTGAGTGAATATCTAATTAGAAGAATAATATCTGACACACACTTTGGTTTGTCCTCTCTCTCTCTCTCTCTCTCTCTCTCTCTCTCTCTCTCTCTCTCTCCCCGTTTAGCTTTGTTACTATTACACAGTCTTCTAAATCAAGATTTTTTTACTTGAAGTTGAGATTTGCAACAATTTAAGCTTCAGTAGACTAAACTGAGATTTTTCCAGTTGATTTATTTATTGGCTACTGCATATCAGAGTTCAGTGAGCTTGGCATTATAGTTTCTTTATTTGGCACAGAATTTCTGCCATACTGTTTTTACTGAAGAGCATCCTGTTCTGTTAATAATCCTGTCAATTTCTGTGAGATTACTTGTGCAACAAGGCATTTCTCAGCCTAAGAATGACTGACTTGGGCTCTTAATATCACATGTACTGTTGTGGTCTTCTGCTCAGTTTAAGAAATGTTTCTGATATGTCATTTAATCTCTGGAATTTTGGTTTTCAGAGGGGGTGATTTTTTTTCTTTTTTGCATCCAAATAACACAAAACCAATCCACACATGAGTCAGCCTTATTTCTACCATCTGGATCATATTTGCAGAATGATAAAGTGGAATATAATATCAAAACTGTAGATTTGAATTTGGTTTATAGGATTTGACTAGCTCTTAGCAAAATGTTATCCCAGTTGCCTAAAAAAGTTTTTTAGGGTCAGTAAAGCAGAAGGCCACAGGGGCACTGGGAGACAGGTGGAGAACAAAAAGAGAATGTCTTGCAGTAGCTGCAGGTTGGTTTTCCATGTGTTCCCCATCAGGTTCACAAGAAGGTAGGACTCCTCCACTCACAGCCTGATTAGTCAACCTCTTGTGACTATCAAATACCCCAAGAATGCTAGTAATAACGTCTGGATCCTGCAGAGTTATGTAGTGGGAGTTAGGAGACTAACAGTGCCTCTACCTTCATCTCAACTGTATTGCACTAGTCAGAATTAAGCTCTATGGAGGAAGATCCTTAAATGATATGAATTCATATGCAGTTCCATGGAAGTCAAAGGAATTGTATTAAAGAAATATATGACCATCTGAGGTTTCGATCATCTTATACAGCAATATACTCATAAAAAATAGTTGTCTAGCAAAGACTTACTCTCCAAAAATATGACAGAATTTTTTCTGTGAGTTCACTGATATGGAAAAAACAGAGCTAATACACCACAAGGCCAGTTTCATCATTCATAAAGCTTTCAAATTCACCTTAGTGTATAAATGTCAATTTTTTTCCAGCAAAGTCTCATTTTGCACTGTAGTGCACTGCTCAGTTTCCAAACTTACAAAAAATCAACTTGACATACTTATCTGAAATTAAAAAGCAGCTACAAAAACAAAGGCAGAAGATTATTTCTCCATCTCAGTAGTTGGTTAAAGAGTCTATACAGTCAGTAGTCATAAAAAATAACTATATCAAATCAATGCTTAGATACATGCCTGTGGGTCACTTCTTAAAGATGCAATACCACCACCACCAAGGGAATTCTTCAGAACAAAATTTAATCCATTTATTCCTGGTAACTCATATCTGTAAAGGTAAGAGAATTACATGTTTGTTTACAGCAGATACAGATTATTTGTTTTGTACAGAAGTAACATCAAGTGAAACGCAGCATGCGTTATGATTATGTAAGGACTGTGATGTTATACAAAATGCAAAACTGGTGGAAATGAAAAAGAAAACAAATGTTAAATGTAAAAACCTGATTGATAATGTTAAGTTAAAATTAAAAAATAGATTGTTTTCTCATAAGGAAGAAACAGCTGTATCCGTTTCACAGGCAAATTACCAAGTCAATCCTGGGGAAACTCTTTGAGAAGATCATCAAGGAGCACATTTGTGATGGGCCGGCATCAGAAATGATGCTCAGGGGCAATCAGCATGGATTTATTAGGGGGAGATCATGTCAGACCAACCTGATTGCCTTTTATGATCAGGTCACAAAGGCCATGGACGCAGGTGTCGCGGTGGATGTAGTCTTTCTGGACTTCAGCAAGGCCTTTGACACCGTCTCTCACCCCATCCTAATTAATAAACTAGGCGACTGTGGCATAGATGCCTACACAGTCAGATGGATTGCAGATTGGCTGAAGGGTCGCACTCAGAGGGTGGTGGTGGATGGATCATACTCGACTTGGGGGGAGGTGGGTAGTGGAGTCCCCCAGGGCTCGGTCCTGGGGCCTGCGCTGTTCAATTTCTTCATCAGCGATCTTGATGCTGGGGTGGAAAGCAACCTGTTTAAATTCGCTGATGACACCAAAATTTGGGGGGAGGTGAGCACGCTAGCAGGGAGAGAGAGATTGCAGAAGGATCTGGATAGGTTACAGGGGTGGGCAAACAGGAACAGGATGTGTTTCAATACGGACAAGTGCAGGGTGCTGCACTTGGGTAGTAGGAACCAGCAGCACACTTATACGATGGGGAACTCCCTACTTGAGAGCACGGAGGCGGAAAGGGATCTTGGTGTCATTATTGACTCCAAGATGAACATGGGCCGACAATGCGAGGTCATGGTTGGCAGGGCTAACCGGACCTTGTCGTGCATCCACAGGTGCATCTCGAGTAGAGCCAGGGAGGTGATCCTCCCCCTCTATGCGACGCTGGTCAGGCCGCAGCTGGAGTATTGTGTCCAGTTCTGTGCGCCCCATTTCAGGAGGGATGTGGACAACATGGAGAGGGTCCAGAGGAGGGCCACCCGCATGATCCGGGGACAACAGGGCAGACCCTACAGTGAGAGACTGCGGGACCTGAACCTATTCAGCCTCCACAAGAGAAGGCTGAGGGGGGACCTGGTGACCGTCTATAAACTCACTAGGGGGAACCAGAAGGGTTTGGGGGAGACGCTGTTTCCCCTAGCCCCCGCTGGCATAACAAGGAGTAATGGGCACAAGTTGATGGAGAGGAGGTACAGATTGGACATCCGAAAAAACTACTTCACAGTTAGGGCGGCTAGGAGCTGGAACCAACTTCCAAGGGAGGTGGTGCTGGCCCCTACCCTGGGGGTCTTTAAGAAGAGGCTGGATGCCTACCTGGCTGGACTCATCTGAGTCCCGTTTTTGTTTTTAGGGTTTTTTGTTGTTCTCCCGCCCTGGCGGGGGGTCGGGCTAGAAGATCTATTAGGTCCCTTCCGACCCTAAAACTATGAAACTATGAAACTATAAGTTTTAGCTTGGGAACCAAATCTGAACAAAGGGTTTATAATGGGTAAAGACTTTTAAATGTTTCATGGTCTGTTACTTAAAATATTCTATAGATTCTTTTAAGTTTCTGAATTTTCTGTGGTTAATCCTGGCTGTCATCCAATCAGCAATTGATATGCTGTCAGTTACTGAGAACTAACTGTACAATGAGGGTGTTTGTACACATGACACCATTACCATGTACGCGTGATGAAAATGTCACTTTGTGTGGCTTAATGGAGTCACGCTGTACACGTGCAGGAGTTTGGGGGTTTTTTAATGAGTTTGCATTGTTTACTAAACTACATCCTGACGTGATGCATTGCAGCTACTAGTCAGCTCACCTCTGGCTGCAGGAGAGGCGGGCAGGCTCTGCAGAAAAAAAAGGATCGGACCCCTCACCACTTCTGCCTTCAGCAGGCACCTCTGGTGTCCCCACTATAAAGCACTGGTTTCAACTGCTAGATCTACAACATACCTATGTTTATCTTTCCTTGCAGTGCTTATCACTAATTTATCTGCTTTCTCAAATTCTCCTGCAATTGTTTTCCTGTATTTTGTTGGTCTTGGCATTCAGGATTTTTTCCTTAGTGCTTCCTTTCCTCAGTGAGGTGTCATGTTTTTTCGCTTCACCAGTTCTTGTTCTGTTTCCATTTAGCTGTGCCTGTTACAGCTTGAATCGAATTTTCTGAGCACTGTATATTTTTCTTCAGATCCACTTTGTATCTCACATTCTTCTGCCTTTGGGTGCATACAAATGACAGGAAGGCACTTATGATCATGCTGTAACTTTTGCACTTTACACAAAGTGCTAAAAGTTACAATGCGATTGAACATAACAGCTATTTGGCATGTGTGTTGGGGGGCGGCTCACTGGAGAAGGCCAGGAGGCAGGGGGAGCTGTTGCATGCCTCCCAGTGTGCTCTGCAGGCTCAGGGAGCTGCCAGAAACTCCTGAGAGCAGCCAAAGGGCTAGCCATAGCCAAGCAGTTTGCCTTCCCCAGGGTTGTGGCTGGCTCTGTCCCCAGACCATCAGTGACAGCCTCTCAATCCAGCCTCCTACCTCTGGCCAGCTGAGAGCTACAGCCTGGCCAAGGGGAAGGTAGGAAGGATGATGTCCTTACCTGCAGTGCCCCTGGGATCAGGGGAGCTGGCAGCCCGGCTAAGCGCAATGCAGGGGGAAGGCTCCCTCCTGCTTGCTCTCTGATCCCATAGGCTGCAGTGGCCTATGGTCCTAGGGGGAACAAACAGGGGGGAGAGACCCCTCTCCCCTACAACACACCCAGCTGGACTGCCAGCTCCCCCAGTCCCAGGGGCACTGCAGGCAGAGACACCATTGCTTCTTCCATCACCCTGGCCAGGCTGTGACTCTAAACTGGCCAGAGGTAGGAAACAGAGCTGGGATTCATAGATTCATAGATGTTGGGGTCGGAAGGGACCTCAATAGATCATCGAGTCCAACCCCCTGCATAGGCAGGAAAGAGT